GCACAATCAGAAATATAGAGAGTGGAGACTGCATCATCTCTATCCTGAAATGACAAAGGTATTAGTATTTCATCCTTTAAATACTGTCATCTGTACAACTGTTAAAATATAACCACGGACATAATAACTGCCACTAACTAATATTTATTTAATAACTAATTTTTGGCCACTAACATCTAGCGCTATAACTTGTAGTTGTAGTATAGTTACATGTTTCATATAAGTGTTTTTTCAAGGGGATTATATTTCATTACATCAAAGAATTTAATGTTTTAAAAAACCACTTTATGGTTGTACTCATGCATACCTCCAGTCCTGTACAAACTACTGAACCACCATTGGCATATTATAATAAATGTAGTAATAGCACTTATTTTGAAGTTGGGAGCACCCTGAAAAATTCTCAAAAATGCTATTTAAAATTGACAAATTTTGTGATGTCACAAAATTTTTTGTCCGGGGCAAAAAATTGTCCTAGCTCTATACTTCCACATGTATTATAAATATAAACACTAAACCCCAACCCAACCCTAATCTAAACTGTACTGTGTATATATAGTAGCCCAGACAATTTTTGCCAGGACAAATTATTCCATGACAGTCACTCATACCACACCTTCAATTCACACTTGGTCACACCTCCATGACTATGGCTGTTTTTCTGTTTGTTGTAATTGTGATTTTCCAAAATTACTTGTCTAGTATGCTTGATTGTACTTCAAAAATTATTCTATTTGAATTATTTTAGGTGCAAGTATCTTTACTATTGTACCAGAGACACAATATGTATATGTCAATGATACTGTGACATTTGAATGTGCTACTAATGTGACTCAATTTGGTCTCTTTTTTGTGACTTATCCATCAGTTATGGGTTCAGTATCAAATTCTGCTGGAATGGCATCACTCAACCTAACTGCTACAAGTGAAGTAAATGGTACAAGTGTTACCTGCTATGCAAGCAATGGAACTGCCACTGAACCAGCATATTTATATGTACAAAGTCAGTAGATCCATCTTACCTGCATAATTGGGCAGTAATAATTCTGAATGTACTACTTTCATTGACAGGTCCTCCTGATATTGTCATTAATATAACAGGATATCAGTTAGATTCTTGTTGTATGTTTATCAGTTGGTATCCTCCATTCACACTACCAGGACTAACAGTACAGTATATAATCAGTGTAGGAACTGATCAACAATACCTTAACGACTCTATCACTAACTACACTTACTGTCCAATGAACCCAACCAATAAGCAATATCTGTTTAACATTACAACTACTAATAAAGCTGGGAATGGATCTACTAGTAACATAACTGTTGGATTTCAATCAAGTAAGAAGCATAAATATGATTAGTTTATTGATTTTTATAGGCTCAAATTTCCAGAGTATTTATCAAGAACATTTGACATACCATATAAACAATAGTTGGAATTTACATTACCTTCTATCAGTTAGTTACCCCCACACATACAAACACCTGTTTCATTCATTGTAGGCTCATCAGTTGTGTACTGGAGTGTCACTTACTAATATTACAATAACTGGTTGTACTGTTGGTAGTTCCAGTACTTGTTATTCATCAACAAATGTATCCACTAGTAGATCTAGTTCTGATAATAACATTTCACTTGTTGTTATTATAAATCTTCCATCAAAAGAGATACTGACTACTAATGTTATCTTGTACTATCAAAATGGAGCTATATTTCAAAGCAACACTATAATGATTAGTAAGTGACATATCATACTAATCTTTAGTATTTTATTATTATTAAGGTACTCATGATCTTCAACACATAGCAGTGGTTAATATTACATTTAACAAAGTTTGTCTTCAGTTTGAGTTTGTCAATGGCAGTACAACTGATAATATTTATATTCACATCACTAATTATGAAGAGCCAGTTCATCAACCAGTGTATTACAATATATCTCCTAATGATCAGTTGAACTTTATTCAGTGTATTACTAACATACCAGCTGGTAATAACTTAACACTGTATGCATGTGAATCAATGGATGGCTGTACTACTAATCCTGCTGCTGTATTAACTGGTATTAATATTGATAAAGCTCCTATAGTCTCCAGTACTATGCTGACAAGCTACTTAAATTCACATGAAGACCTATTAGGATCTACTTCTAATCCCATCTGCTATAGTTCAGTATTGTTAATGTATACTTCAACAACTACAGTTTCATCTACAGTTATATCTACCATGACAATAGAGGATTGTAATATAAGGGAAAGTCAAGGTGAAATACCT